CTCATGCACAAGGCAATAGGAGTGCGAAAGTCACCCAGTTCCGTTGCAGAGGTTTACCGAATATCTATAGAAAGAACATAAAGAGACCTCTTTTTTACGGATAATCTTGTTTTCACTTTCTAGGACTGGACAGTGAGAATGCGAGCCAACTATAACTTGAACGCAAATGCAGTATACTATGCTATGGCTTCAATTCGCTAATTTATGAAATAAAAATGCGACGTTGAAAATTTGCCTTTAGATGCATTTTTTCTTGAACATTCTTAGATGCGAAAAAGTGTGTGTTACAGCTAAAATATCTCATCCTGTAATTAGATAACGGAAGTAAATTTTCTTACATCTAATAAGTCGAGCATGTAAAGTTGAAATCATCACTTAAATCACCATGCTCTAAACTGATACAACATACAAAAGCCGGCCACTAAATGTCGCTCCGGTCAAACACGCCTAACCCATACAAAATGACGAACGAAACAAATTTTCTGTTTTCGCACCTAATCACGTAAGTTAGATGGAGTGCGGGCCACTCACTTCTAGGATAATTTAAACCATGAGGCATTGCCTTTAACAGGTGACGACGAGGCACCTCAGCACAGTATAAACTTTCTAAGCGCCTAGTACATCAGCCGCATTCTCATTCTTATTTTACATCCGCTACCGTTGTAAATGGATTGGAAATTGTTGTAGCATTTACAATCAATTTACCCTACAAAAAGAGATTGTGCGTAAAAAAATATCGCATTAACCACTTTGCTGCTATAAGCCTTTGAGGATAAACGATGATTCAGAAACAAACTCGGTTCTCAAAGACAAACGACTATTTGAGTTGTAACAATTGAAGTAGCCAGAATGTCATAAAGTAGTTCATTCGTTTTCTGTAACTTGACAGCTCGCAGATCATGACAAACGGATCGCATTTACCGCAACCGTGGTGTTCGAAAGTTAGTGCAAACGCATTCGACCTGATCTTATTGTAAAGCACGTTTATGTATGTCTTGATATTAGTAAATATTTTCGAGTTTTGGATCAAGCAAATATTGGAAGTTCACCGTTCACATTGATATGCTTAAACCACATTTGCTAGAAAATTTATTGCTAGGTAAATAATTATTGTTAAATAACCGAAATTTAACGGCGAGTTCCATCCTCGAAGAAAACACCGCCGTCGTTGGCGCAGTATTTGGGGCAGATACCGCGCTCTCCAGGAGTGGCTCCTCGTCCTGGTTCTCCTGGACGGCCAGGGTTTCCTGGACGGCCAGGCTGTCCGTTGCCTCCAGGCGGACCCTTGGGTCCGGGCTGGCCTAAAAATTTATGATTAATTTTTATTTTACAGCGGTAGACAAATGTAAAAGCATTTACCAGCTCCTCCAGGGTTTCCGGGCTGTCCGTCGTTTCCGGGAGGTCCAGCAGATCCTGGAGGTCCAGGTGGTCCAGGCAGTCCTGGAGTGGCTGGGATCGATGCAGCGTTGTTTCCAGGTTGTCCAGGTCCTCCAGGCTGTCCGGGGTTTCCGGCTGG